AGGGCAGGGCAGGGCAGGGCAGGGCAAGGCAGGGGAGGACGTATTTGGCAAAGGCTGACTGGCCAGGGGGGCCCACCAGGGGCCCCAGCACAGTCCGCTTTGCCATTTGCATGGGCCCAGGGAGTCACCCTGCCCACTGGCTCTCACACTTGCCCCACAAGCAGCTGCCGCAGGCTGATGGTGTCACTAGGCAGGGAAGAGCAGGGAGAACAGGAGAGCAGATCAGAGAAGCGCATTTCTCCAGGGTGTTTGCTGGGACCTGAGGGCCAGGCCAGATAAGAGAGGGCGGCAATTAAAAGCCTTTAAAAACCGACCCTTACGGGAGGGTCAGGTTTCAGCCCCCCGCCCAGAGCCAACTCAAGCACGCCTGCCAAGAGCATTAACCACTTCTCACCAAGACCAAGCTTACCCCCTTCAGCGGTGCTTCTCCTATGAAAGTCAGGCTCTGTCAGCTGCCCTGCCCACCCCCTCTGCGCCCGCAATCGTCTGCGCCTTGCCTCAAGGAGAGCACATCCGTTTCCCCTGGGGCTGCAAGGGCACAGCAGGGCAGGGACTTGCTAACCAACCAGCAGCCGCCAAAGGCTGGCAAAGGAGCGCAGCCTGCTCTGAATCCCAGCACCTGGTTAAGAAACAGGACTTCTTCCTGCCCCAGATCCTGACCCCCCATTGCCCGGGGCTGTGGGGACTACGCACTGCCAGGCTCCAAGTGAGCCCAAGCACCTTGGCCGGGAAAGGGGAGTTCTCCCATCGCCCCCCCGCTCCGTTCAAACTCACTGCTGGTCAGAATCGCAGGAGCCCTGCCCGCACAAAGGGGATGCAGAAGCTGTGTTGTGCCAGTCTCTGGCACGCAACAGTGGGTCCAGCTGCTCTGTTGGAGGGAGGCACTTGGGAGGTCCTCCCCCCACCCTCCAACGCGGGGAAGGGCCACAAGGAGGGCCAGGAGGTGGGCAGCAGCTTCCTCTGCCCGGCACAGGGTGCCCGTTGCTTCCCTGCCGGCCGGCCTCTTCGTGGCTCAGCTCTGCAGAGGAAGCGGCCCAGAGATCTTGCTGGCTTCCTCTCTGCAGCCAGCCCGGGCGGGGAAGGATAGGATGGGGTGGGATGGGGTGGGGTGGGGGAGAGCAGAGGGCTGCTCTGAGCATGATGCAAGCCATTTGGAGCCGAGGGGGAGGGCTGCCAAGGCAAGCTGTGCTCTCTAAACAAGGGAGGAAATGACCGTAGACACGGCATGCCAGCAAGCAAGCAAGCGATCTCTCTCTCTCTCTCTCTCTCTCTCTCGCACACGCAGCAAAAGGAAGTCAAGAGGGGTTTTCATGACACAGAGCTGGATGTCAACGGCTAAAAGGTCGATATTTTCCCTTAACACCCTTTCTCAATGACTTAATCGTGTTCCGTTTGTACAAAAATGCTTCCCAAGAAGAGGAGCCCAGAGGGCGGAGGGGGGAGGAGGGGCAACGTGCCCCAGCCCTGACCTTGTCCGAGGAGTTCTCCACGTAGCAGGGCTCCTGGGGGGCAACCAGCAGCGGGACGAAACCCGAGAGCAGCCGATCCTCCTCCAGGCCCAGCTGGGCCAAGTCCTCGTCAGGGTCCTTGTAGAGGGGCACCTCCGACTGGTTCACGGTGGTCAGAATGTTGCAGAAGTCTGCCAGCGTTGCCCACACGTCCACCGAAGCCCTGTCCGGGGGAAGAGGAGAGACCTCAGCTGCTGGGGGGCCCCTGTGGCCCCCAGCCCCCACTCGCTGCAGCGAGGAGCCTGACCCCCAGAGAGAGAGAGAGATGGGCCTGATCCTTCACCCACCACCCTGGGCCAGTTTCTGCACGAGGCACTTATAGCAACAGGCCAGTCCCAGCACTGTGAAGGGGACCCTGGAGACCTGCATTCCCCCACCAGCTGCCCCCTTTCGCTCAGTGCTGCCCCTAACTCTCAGAGAGGTTCCTGCAGATTCCTGAGCGCACAGGCTGTGTGCATGCCAAGCCCAAACCAACTCCAGGAGTAACTTTCTAGTCCTCACTGCCCTGAGAAAAATCCAGCGTTCTTCTGTACTCTTTGTCTGCCCCTCCCTTGCTCCCTCACTTTAGAAAAGTGTCCCCAATGCTGAATTATCAAAAAAGGAGAGAGGAGTTTTGAGAAGCAGACAATTCTGCACAAACGTAACCTGCTGACATACTATTAGTATAATATTAAAACATTTTGACATCAATAGAGATGATTCTAGCCCAGCACAGACCGAAGAGCAGCCTGAATCACTCTGGACAGCTGGAGAGCCACGTCCCGGGGGCCTTTGGGGCAGGCACCTGAAAGGCATGGGGGCTTCAGCCCCTCCCCAGGAGGACCTTCACTGGGCACCTGATGGAGGCGGGACCATCTACCGGTGGACAAGGAGCATGGTCCCAAAGCACCGGCACTGGGGAGAAGTGCCTGGCGACACAGGGCAGGGGAGCTGCCCCCTTCTCTCCCCACTTCCAGCACTGCAACAGAGCCTTTGGGGCACCCCCAGTGTTGCTTCTGTCCGTAGCTTCACATTTGACAAGCACCCGGCCAAGGTGGCTTTTCCCACCTCGCTGTGGGCAAGCTGAGAGTGAGAAGAGGGCCTTTTTCTCACAAAGGGGGGCGGTGGATGGGGGGTGGCAGGCTGATGAAACCTCAGAAGTGGCTGGGCTGGCGGGGGAGGGAGGGTTTCCAGCCGTGGTACAGTGGGAGGATGCTGGGCCTTCAACGCTAAAATAGAAAAAAGAAAATGAAACGTAAAACACACTGAAAGCGTAAACATAAGCAGAATGAGAGAAATAGTGAAAATTTGCAAAGCGGGTATAATTTGCCCAAGGTTGTTAAACTCAGCACTGCCCCATTCCAGCTGCAGGGCGCTGCTGGGGACAGGCACAGGAGCTGGCGACGGCTCAGATGGGCAGGGCAGGGGGCTCCTCAGCCCCAGTTAAAGGGGGGAAACTCAAGAGGGGCCTTTTCACTGCAAGGCGGAGGGGGCAGGAAAGGGGGCTGACTTTGAGCTAACCTTCTCTGGGACAGGCTGGAAAGGCAGGGAGGAGGCTTCCAGCCAGGCCCCCCCCCCCCC